GGTTTTTTTGGTATTTATTCTAAGTTTTTGACTTTTTAATTCTATTTTTTTCACTTTTTTTTTTCAATTTATTTTTTTTTTTTGAACCTTTCAAAAATTTCCAATTAACTTTTTCTGTCTTATCCAACCAGTAAAACTGCTTCTTTTCCCACCACTAAGTTTTTCATCATTTTTTTTATTTTTATTGTACCCTCTCTCTCTCTCTCTCGTCACTATCTCCCTTTCTCTCTCTCAATAATTTTTTCTATCTATTTTTTATTTAAATTTTTTTGTTTCTCTTCTTTCTTTTTCTTTCATCTTCTATTTTTTTTCCTTCTCTTTTTTTTTATTTTTTTTTTATTTTTTATTTTTATTGAACCCTTTCTCTCTCTCTCTCTCTTTCTCCATTCTTTCTCTCTTTCTTTCTTCAATTTCTTTTTTTTTCTCCTCTCTCTCTCTTTTTCTTTCTCTCCTTTTTCCCTCTTTTTCTTCTCTATCTCTTTCCCTTCTCAATCCTTTACGTTCTATTTTTTTTTTTTCATTTTACTTGAACCCCTCCTCTCCGTCTCTCTCTCTCCTTTCTCTCTTTCTCTCCCCTCTTTTTCTTTTTTTCTCTTTTTTGAAAATTTTTTTTTTCTCTCTCTACCCTTTTTCCCTTTTCTCTCTCTCTATCTCTCTCTCCCTCTCAATCCTTTTACGTTCTGATCTTTATTTTTTTATTTTATATTGTTTCTCTCTCCGTCTCTCTTTTTCTTTCTCTTTTCTCTCCCTCTTTCTCTTCCTTTTTACGTTCTATTTTTTAAAATTTTATTGTTCCCTCTCTCTTTCTCTCTATCTCTTCCTCTTTTCTCCCCTCAAATCCTTTAACGTTCTATCTAATTTTTTTTTTTTTTTTATTGTACCCTTCCCCTCTCTCTTTCTCTTATTTATCTTTCTCTCTTTTTCTCTTCCCCTTTTTCTCTCTATCTCTCTATTTCCTTTTTTTCCCCTCTTTCCTCTTTCTCTCTCATCTATCTATCAAGACATCTCTCCCCCCTTTCAATCCTTTTACGTTTTATCTACTTTTTTATTTTTATTGTACCCTTTCCCTCTCTCTGTCGCCATTTTTCTCTCCCTTTCTCTTCCTCTCTCTCTCTCTTTCTCTCTATTCTTTTCTCTCTCCCCTCTTTTTCCCTCTTCTCTTTTTTCTCTCTCTTTTCTCTCCTCTTTCAATCCTTTTTACGTTTTATCTACTTTTTTTTTTTTTTACCTTTTCCTCTCTCTCTCTCTCTCGCCATTTTTCTCTCTCTTTCTCTTCCTATCTCGCTCTTTCTCCCTTTTTCTCTCCCCTCTTTCCCTCTTTTTTCTCTCTCTCTCTCTCTCTATCTCCTTCTCTCTCCTCCTCCACTCCTTTTACGTTCTATGTACTTTTTTATTTTTATTGTACCCTTTCCCCTCTCTCTCTCTCTCGCCACCTTTCTCTCTTTTCTTTCCTATCTCTCTTTTTCTCTCTTCCTTTCTCTCTCTTTCTTTTCTTTTTTTTCTCTCTCTCTCTTCTTCTTCTCTCTCCTCCTCACAATCCTTTTACGTTCTATGTTCACTTTTTTATTTTTATTGTACCCTTTCCCTTTCTCTCTCTCTCCACTTTTTTTTTCTTTTTTTTCTTCCTATCTCTCTCTTTTTCTCTCTTCCTTTCTCTCTCCCCTCTTTCCCTCTTTTTTCTCTCTCTCTCTATCTCCTTCTCTCTCCTCCTCACAATCCTTTTACGTTCTATGTACTTTTTTATTTTTATTGTACCCTTTCCCTCTCTCTCCATCTTTTTCTCTCTTTCACTTCCTCTCTCTCTCTCTTTTTCTCTATTCCTATCTGTCTCCCCTCTTTCCCTCTCTCTCTCTCTCTCTGTCTATCTATCTCCTTCTCTCTCCACCTCTCAATCCTTTTACGTTCTGTCTACTTTTTCGGCAGCAAAACTCAGTTCAGCTACTGTTCTTATTTTTGTTTTCTTTTCCAAGTCTCTCGCTGCAGGCAAAAGAAAACGATGTGATCTCACGTCGTCGTAATTACATCAAGTCAGAGCGACATCTAGCGGCTCAAGGGCAGTGCACTCCGCCTAAACAATAACTCGACCGCCTTTAGACAGGTCGAATCAGTGCTAAGAAAGTACGCCGTGCTACGAGTGCAGAGGATGTGTGTTTGCGCGGACAAGCTAATTAATTTTTGAGTGCCAACATGTACTTGCCTGTCCGCGAGTAAGTTCATACCTATATCTATCTATCTATCTATCTATCTATCTATCTATCTATCTATCTATCTATCTATCTCAGTCTGTTCATATCTATCTCAGTCTGTTTGCATCTATCTATCTATCTATCTATCTATCTATCTATCTATCTATCTATCTATCTCAGTCTGTTCATATCTATCTATCTGCCGCAGTCAGTTCATGTCTATCGATTTGATGCCTATCTATCTATCCCAACTTTTTCCTATCTATCTATCTATCTATCTATCTATCTATCTATCTATCTATCTATCTATCTCAGTCTATTCATATATATCTATCGATCTATTTTTCTAGTGCAACGTTTAAAAGATTATTATTTTCACACACACAAAAATATATATATATATGTGTGTGTGTGTGTGTGTGTTCACTATGTGAATGCTATTGTTGCAGTACTATGTGCTGCATGGTCTATATATATATATATATATATATATATATATATATATATATATATATATATTTTAGGGCCAGAAATAAAGACACAAGAGAGGAAAAAACATATAAAACGACATTGTTGCAGCAAGAATGTTCCGTCCGACTGACAGAGGTGACTGCTTGATTCTTCACCCTCCAAAAGGCAATACCTGTTCCTATTTATAAATGGGAGAAAATGCGTTCGTGTAAATTACCATTACAATATACATACATATATATATATATATATATATATATATATATATATATATATATAGTGATATTTATCGATTTATATATATATATATATATATATATATATATATATATATATATATATATATATATATATATATATATATATATCATATATATATATATATCCACGCTGGAATTTGTTATGTGGTTCTTTCTTTTTTTTTTTCTTTTTTGTCTTTCTTTTATTTCATTTTTATTATCTATCTATCTATCTATTATCTATCTATCTATCTATTATCTATCTATCTCAGTTTGTTCATATCTGTCTATCCATCTATATCAACCTTTTCATATCTATCTATCTATCTACCTCAGACTTTTCATATCTATCTAGCCATTTGTCTCGGGATTGTATACGGGGTATTTCAAATATTTGACAATCCTCAAGACATTTTCAAAAGTTATCAACTTGATGAATTACGAAAATTATTTTCATTTCTTTACTGATATATGAAGTAAGCTAATTTGCCACTTTCCTATGGGCGCTAAAATTCATAGATGCCAGTTTTTAAAGAAGTGCTATCATCATTTCAAGTGGAATTGGCGTGCCGAGTTCAAATGCAGCAAAGGGTGGTTAGGCTCACTTTTGCGCAAATAACTGTATAAATATGAAGCTGAATCTACGTTCCCCAGCTCGATGTTAATAGAAGAAAGGTGTGTGTACTGTCGCCTTAGATGTTAACAACTCTTGAAGATTATCGAATATTTGAATTTTGCTTCTTTTCGCGTTCTCTGTAGAACCGGAACCAACTGCCCTGTTGGTGGTATCTGTAATTCGGAAAATGTGATATACCAAACTATCCTTCTTACGAAAGAAAACATCGACGACAAAAAAAAAAAGATAAACATCCATCGGGATATCCGCTGGGAATTGGAAACAGAGACTCTAGAGTCACCAGCATTTTTTGACCAGTGTCTCCTTAAACCACCAAACTATCTAAGCATTATTGGAAAATTAAAGATGCTTCTCCCCATAAATTAAATGGGACATCATCTGTCGGTTCCAAACCTCAATCAAGTTACAGGACTGATGCACTCTATGCATACAGGAGACAATTGCAATAATCAAATACAGAATTACTAACCAGTTGTTGTATCAAAGAAACGAACTGATTTTCGAGTGTAGACATAAGAACAAATTTAAAATTCTCTAAAACCGTTGGCTTTAAGGCGATACAGACTTGAAGTGTTGATTCGTTTATGTGGGTGCTAGCACAAAGAAGCGTATATTCATTCATATATATATATATATATATATATATATATATATATATATATATATTTATAAATTTACTATGGTTCCATAGCTACACAGGAATTACCAAGTTTCAAAACAGAAGCTAAAATTTTTAAATTCAATTAAAGAATTAAAATCCCTAGTTCTGTTTCATTATCAAGCGAATTTTATTTTGAAATGGTAAAGGACAAATTAGGACAAAAAATCCTTGCATTAATCGTTAAACATGTTCCTAAAGACGGCGCAGTACTATTTTCAATAACAATACCCTAAAATTAAAGTTACAGCTGTACTGAAAACTTAGAAAAATATTAAGAAACATAATATCTTAAATAAAAATTTAGACCAAGACCAAAGAAACTTAGACAGTATAATAATAAAAAGAGATGAAGATAAACAAAAATTATGTAACTGCAGAAATCCTCATAACTGTTCTCTTAATAATAAATGTATACTAAATAATTAGTATACCAATGCAATATCTCCTCTATTGAGGATCCAGATAACATAAAAGTCCGCAGTGGATGCACAAGACATGAGTTCAAAAAACGGTTCAACCAACATCAAACTTCTTTTAGGATGAATAAATACCGAAAGCAGACGACCCTATCGAAATATTTCTGGCATTTAAAAGAAACCAATAAAACACCTACTGTGAAATGAAAATTAATAAGAAAAACTAGAATATGTAGGTCATTAAATGACGCATGTACTTAGTGCATACATGAGAATCTATATATTACTAGGTTTATAAAAAATAAAAAATTACTTAATCAAAACAATGAAGTAGGTATCTTTGCCGACATTGTAAAATGTTTCTTAAGTAATGTTTAATTAAACAAAAAACTGATAAATGAAAAATACATATTTATATTTGATATTTAATAATATTGTTTAAATGATTTAAGTAATTTTATTACATTTATTTGTGTTAAAAGATGTATAGTCTATTAGTAATTAAAATTAAGAATAATATTTTAAAATTGTAGTTCAATACGACGTATTCAAAACAAACAACCCTTTTAGAAAAAAAATCTTTATGTTTACGAGTACAAATTTAATGGCGAAACAAAAGTTATGAAAAAAGTTTCGTCGTTGTAAAAGACCTGACGATATGCGTTGGACGGATGTCATCATTCGTTTGAAAAGACACCTCTGCCCTACCTTGAATTAATCTCTTTTCGAAAGTAACTCATATTTTGATACAATAGTTGTCAGTGAAAAAGAATACCTTACCGTCCCTTGTTAAAATGATTGGATTTCCCCATATACATAGAAACTACTATTATGAATGTATGTGCTTATAAAACTCAGGAAATTTCAAAATAAGTTATTACAATATTCGCTTGAAACTGAAACAGGACTATAGACTTTAATTTAATTCTATGAATGGATTTGAATTTTTTAGCTTCTATTTTTGAAAGATGGTAACCATCTGTAGTGATGGAACCATATTTTTAATTACTAAATTTATAATATTCATGCTCTGTAGATTTGCATTGAGCACTGTTTTTTAAATATAAAAATATTAAGAACATAGATTACATATCTTACCGTTCTTTATCTATTATAATATCTATCTATCTATCTATCTATATATATATATATATATATATATATATATATATATATATATGTATGTATGTGTTTGTGTATTGTGTATCACGCGCTTTTGTTTTTTTTTAATATGTAATTGGATCTATGATAGTCTTGCCGATGTATACAACATATATAATTTACAACATATACAACATATACAACATCTATAATTTTAAATTAACATTTTTATTATTATTAACCTTACTTCATCTTACTCAGTATTTTTATTGTTTATTTTTTTTTATTCTTTATTTAAAATCCCTTCATTTCTGTTTCTTATTATTATTATCATTATTATATTTATTATTTTTCTTTTTTATTAAGTGTCCCTATATTGGATTAACTAATTTGACATTGTTTTGATATTTCCCGCGTAAAAGAACAGGCCATATCAATGAATTTGTATTATAACCCGATGTACAAAGTTCAACACTTTAATGAAAAAAAAAAAAAAAAAGTCTTGGCCGGTACAGTCTATTTTAGGCTTGGTACTATCTGAGAAGTTTTCTGACAGAGGACGGTAAGTGCGATGCTGAGATCCGAAGACGTATAAAAGCAAGAGCAATCCAAACAGATAACTGAAATCCTTTTATTGTTTTTGTTTGGATTGGTCTTGCTTTTATGTCCATCGTCTTTTTCATGTTGGATTGAATATGGTCTATGTTAATTATGTTTTATGAATTTGTCCTGAAGATGGTCTATGAGACCGAAACGTCCGACGTTGACATTATATTAACATTAAAACAGCATAATTGCATATTAGAATTTTTGTTTGTTTTTTCCGTATATTTTTCTTCATACGGTCGGATCTATATCCATATATTTGCTTACACACACACACATATATATATATATATATATATATATATATATATATATATTCCTCGTAATTTTCTTGTTTTTAGGGGGGGGTTCTTTTTATTGCCAAGTAATCTGTCTTCTGTCTTGCGTGGTTTTGCATTTGTGGAAAATTGTCCTCACAACTCATTAGAATGACATATAACTGCGCCAAAATTAAGATAGATATTTTTTTATTAAAATTTAAATTACGTAAAGATCACTCTCCGGAAATTGCGTTGTGAATGAATTATAGGTGAAATATAGTATGTATATTTATTAAGTAAACCCAAACATAATAATCTTCTATATCATAATCAAATGCATACTACAGTATCTGTCTATATTTCTGAGATGAGGTATTATGTACACTATTTACATTATTCAGACTTTTGTCCTCAGCTTTGTCGCCATATTTATTACAACGTTTCAGCCTTTCAGTATCTGTCTATATTTCTGAGATGAGGTATTATGTACACTATTTACATTGTTCGGATTATTGTCCTCATCTTTGTCGCCATATTTATCACAACGTTTCGGCCTTTCAGTATCTGTCTATATTTCTGAGATGAGATATTATGTACACTATTTACATTGTTCGGACTATTGTCCTCATCTTTGTCGCCATATTCATCACAACGTTTCGGCCTTTCAGTATCTGTCTATATTTCTGAGATGAGGTATTATGTACACTATTTAAATTATTCTGATTATTGTCCTCATCTTTGTTGCCATATTTATCACAACGTTTCGGCCTTTCAGTATTTGTCTATATTTCTGAGATGAGGTATTATGTACACTATTTACATTATTCTGATTATTGTCCTCATCTTTGTTGCCATATTTATCACAACGTTTCGGCCTTTCAGTATTTGTCTATATTTCTGAGATGAGGTATTATGTACACTATTTACATTGTTCGGACTATTGTCCTCATCTTTGTTGCCATATTTATTACAACGACTCGGCCTTTCAGTATCTGTCTATATTTCTGAGATGAGGTATTATGTACACTATTTACATTGTTCGGACTATTGTCCTCATCTTTGTCGCCATATTTATTACAACGTTTCGGCCCTTGTACGCTCCGGTGTTCTTCAGGTGTTTGGAATGTTGAACTGAATTTAACAGGAGATAACTGATAACTGACATCCATTAGAAATCGCACGTGGAACTAGAACAGTCTACCCCAGTGAGCGAAATAAAGGGTTCAGTCCCTGTCCAAAGAGCTTTGAAAAATGAAATCGTACGGGAAATCTGTGAGGCACATTTTTACTCCAGGAGAGGTTAGAAAGGACGAAGATCATCTTGAATAAGATGGAATATGATCCTTGAATAATATATATATATATATATATATATATATATATATATATATATATATATTATATATACCTTTAATTTCAATCCTTCATGAGCTACCAATCCTTGGCAATGATTAATTAATGATGAACATGTCATTTTCGTTTATGATCGATTTCAGCCTGAATCTTCTGTTAAGCCTGAAGATTAATTAGACATTCTTATTTCTCAAAGGAGAGTGTTATCTTTAATCATGTCTAAGATACAACCGCTCATAGCTTAATCTCTCAATTAGACAATTTTGCTGTTACACGATTTGGACAATTTTGCTGTTACCCCCGGTATATATATATATATATATATATATATATATATATATATGGAGTAACAAAAATATCTTTCGAACTTAGTGCATAGCTCTCCATATTTTGAGTATACTAGAAACACTACTTCGAAGGGGACATTGGAAACTAAGCGGTTATTGTTCAAAAGTGGGGCTGGGAATATTCGTTTCATGCAATTAATTAAATTTTCCTGGGAACGCTGAGAACAAACTCCCTGTTATATATATATATATATATATATATATATATATATATATATATATATATAAGGCACGTCAAGCTAAATATATATATATATATATATATATATATATATATATATATATAAAAAACTCATCCTGGGTATGACGATAAACTACATCCGGCAGTAAGGCCTCAGAACGGGCGGTTTTGAAGAGCGTTGACCCATCTCCTAATTGCTGTTGTTCCAATGTTCACCATGACTTGAGGTGGTAGCACCTGTTAGGGGGTCTCAGTTATATGAAACTAGTTAGCTCTTGCTCGACTTGCCTGGAGTCAAAACACTATGAAAATATAAAAACAGATTTTTATAGTAAAATTACCAAAGAGACATCTTTGAAAAAAAAAAAAATTACCTACAATAAATTTTGGAAAAAAAAAAAAAAAAAAAAAAAAAAAAAACATTACCAGCACTACATTTTTGAGAAAAAGAAAACTTTACCAGAAATACTATTTTTTGAAAAAAAAAAAAAAAGAACAGCAAATAATTTTAGGAAAAAAATTACCCTTAATACATTTGACTCTCGACAAAACCGTCTTTACAATGATATGTGAATGAAACCTGATTTACAAACAGATTTCATTCAAAGAATACATATTCTATTCATACGAACCTATCCTTAAAAAAATTCGGTATTAAATGAGCCACTGAGATTGATATGCCGTAAAAATATAAAACCTTACCCTGACCGACACAATCTTGTTCCCTTTGCCCAGGCTCAATACTCTCTTACTTCCCCATTCCTCTTACAATCTCATTCGGGAACCCTCTACATTGAACGGTTCTTGGGCCTTGTATTGGGTAAACTATCAGTAAATGTCTCTATAAATTTTAGCTCTTTTATTTCATATTGTGACTTGTTTTATTACCAACAGTTACTTTGTGATATTATATATATATATATATATATATATATATATATATATATATATATATTATGAATTACCTGATTTAAAATATGTTTTTTCGCTACACAGTAATAACCGTGTTTCTAAAATGGAAGCTAAAAACTTTAAACTTAATTTGGTAATTAAATTAAAAACATTAGTTCCATTTCATCCTCAAGCGAATATCTTACTGTTCTTTTCATATATATATATATATATATATATATATATATATATATATATATATATATATATATATCCTGGTACGATGAGACTTTTCACTTTTTTTTTTTTTTATCTACCCTAATTTTACTGTAATTTTTTTACGACCACAAAACCATCATCTCTATATAACCCTATATTATCAACATTGACATCTTCATAGGCCGAAAACGTTATATAAAATATATAAACACACCAGGTCAGAAGACTCTGCAGAATCTAATGGTCCCATAAAAATATCAAAGTATGTAGGAAATTCAAAAGCATGTAACTTGTTTAGCATTTGGTTAAATTATTTCTATACACATCTTTATCTCTTGCATCGTCTGGTTCGTATATTTTATGTAACCGTATATATTCGATATAAATTTATGTCTGGCTGTTGTTAGATGGCAATCTACAGACCCATTTATAAAAAATATTTTTAAATTTTTGTTTTATCGTTTTCTTTAAATTTAACGTTTAATTGATTGATCAGAGCCAATCCCTCAAATCTTATCACTTTTTTTTCGAAAAAAAAAAAGAGGCTGTCTTTTGCTTTGAAATCTACAGTAATCGTTCACTCGGTAGTAATTTACAATCGCCTGATGAGATGCATTGATATGCGTTGAAACTCGACTGCAGTTGTGTAGCGATTTTGACATGTTTCCGGTGTATATATATATATATATATATATATATATATATATATATATATGAAATAATTCGCACTGTGTTCCGCGACCCTTCAAGATATCACGGCTCTCCGAATCTCGTGTAGTTTTTAACAATTTCTTTCCCGTTGCTAAAAGCTCACGTTCCACCATATATGCAAACATGCTCGTCATGTAAATGATTTTCTTCCTTCTTAATTGCTCTTGCCCTCAATATGCCTTGTAGGAATTAAGTTTTCTAAGTCCTCCTTTCTAATAATGTTCAAGGAGTTTCAGCTCTCTTTTCCTGATTCTGCCAAGAAGTGTACTTTCTGATGACATTTTCTTTAAGATTTCCTTGTTGCTTACTCCCTCCGTCCATGTAATCCCCAGTATCCTTCTGTAGAGCCACATTTTTGCTGTCTATATTTTTTTCTCTACATTCACTGCCATATGAATATCAGACAGAAAGTAATCACTCTTTTCTTGTTTCTAATGAATTCGATCCGTTTCTCGGCGTCTTTACACTTTTTCAAAATCTGACCCCCAAAATTTTCCCTACCCCTTGGGACTAACCCAAAGTAAGTCAGATTTTAAATCAAATCTGGAGTGCATGAATATCTCCAGGGTGGGTCGCAATAGAATTTAGAAGATTAAACGTCTTTGTTTAGTTTATATTTCAAGATAAATTTTGGCAGAGTCATTCCATAGCGGTGCGTGTTTAACAGTGAACTATAGAAAGAGAAGAGGAAAGAAAAGAAAAATGAATGAATGAAAGAAAGAAAGGAGGAACGCATAAACAGAAAGAACTCATACAAAGTGAAAAGAAAGAAAGAAAAATAGAGTGAGTAACAGCAGGAAAATGGGATGGAACGAGCGAATGAACGAACGAATAAAAGAAGTCTAGAATGATGTTAACAAAACTAAACAACATGTCAGTAAAAAAAAAAGATATAAAGACGCAAGAACAGAAAAAAGTAAAACGAACAATGAGAAAGAAAGAAAGAAAGAAAGAAAGCAAAAAAAGATCTTGAAAGCAATATTAGCAATAGTTTGGTATGACTGCAAAGAAAGAAAAAAGAAAGAAAAAAAGAAAGAAAGAAAGAAGCAAACAGTTCTTGAAAGCAATAATAGCAAAAGTATGTCATGACTATAAAGAAAGAAAGAAAGAAAGAAATATCTTGAAAGCAATTTTAGTAATAGTTTGGTATGACTGGAAAGAAAGAAAGAAAGAAAGAAAGAAAGAATGGAAGGAAGGAAGGAAGGAAAGAAGGATCCTAAGAAACTAAGGACTGACTTGACAGCAAATAAAGAACCATGGATAAAAATAAATCAAAGGTAAACTGAACAAGTATTACATGAGAAAGTAAGAAAGAAAGGAAAAAAGTAAAGAAGAAAGGAAAAAAGTAAGAAAGAAAGGAAAAAAAGTAAGAAAGAAAGGAAAAAATAAGAAAGAAAGGAAAAAAGTAAGATAGAAAGGAAAAAAGTAAGAAAGAAAGACTACAATAAGCAATCCAACAATGGTATGACAAAAATAAAGAAAGTAAAAAAGAAGGAAGATGGCGGAGTATTGACGAAGGAATAGAAAAATGTATAAAGAAGAAAGAAGGAATGAATTAAGATATAATGAAGAAAAATAGAGAAAAATATGGCATCACATTAGAAAAGAAGTTTTACCTGAAGTAAGAAAGAAAAAAAAACAAATGAGAAATAAATAAATAAAAAAAACAGGAATATTATAAGAAAGAAAGAAAGAAAGAAAGAAAAGAAAGAAAGAAAGAAAGAAAGAAATCGTTCTCACGTCTGCTTCCGTGAAATGGAAATAAGGAGAAAAATATAAAGAAATGGAAAGGAAAAGAAAGAAAGAAGGAAGGAAGGAAGGAAGGAAAGAACGAAAGCAGTAAAGAAAGTTTAACGGAGATAAAGTTCAGACAAATGTAAAGAACGAAAGAAAGAAAGAACGGAATAGATGAATGCAAATAGAGAAAAGAAAGAAAGAAAGAAAGAAAGAAAGAAAGAAAGAAGGACTAACAGAGATAAAGATCAAACAAATGTAAAGAGCGAAAGAAAGAAAGTATGAAATAGACGATTGTAAATAGCGAAAAGAAAGAAAGAAAGGAAGGCCTCATAAAAGAAAAAACATTTTTATAAAGAAAAGAAAGAAAAAGAGAAACAGATATGGGAAAGAAAGAAAGAAAGAAAGAAAGAAAGGTTAGGGTGGGCAGTCGGAGGTAAATGATATTGTTGTAATTAATCGCATCCAATTGACACAATATGGTTGCCTACATAAACACGTGGCTAATTAATTTGATGCCAGGCAATTAATTGAATGTTTTGCCGCCCAAGACCGAATCGCTAACAATGTCCTCTGGGAGGTTGCAAAAGAAAGACGAAGCGGTTTAGCAAGAGAGAAAGGTCACAGGAGAGACGCGTTGGACGACCAACCAAACCTTGATAATAAGGCGAAACATTATTGACAACCAACAAGATCTCTCTATCCTTAACAACAGAGAAAGAAATACCTGTAAATGTACACATTAGCCTTTATACAAACCGATGCACCTTCGGCAAATGAAGTCTTAGTGCTGAGCCAAGTTAGTATCAGGGATATAGTAGGTGTTCGAGCCTAGGTAAATGGCAAAATTCCGATTGTTGGATTAAAAGGTTGCCTGGCCTTTTCAAATTGAAAGATTGCTTCTTCATTATCTTTTCTGCGTTACTGAATCTTAAATTTTCTTAATTCATATCGGTATTGATACAACTGAAAACAAAAACGAGACGTCAGAAAAATAACATGCCAAACTGCGGATTAGACCTTTGACTTACTATCAGTGGGACAAGCCAATCATTGTATGTTATTCATCATGACGGTCGTCTTCGAGTATAGAATCCAGAGGTTAGCAGTGAATATTTCGAAGACAGTAGAAAAGCGTTGTTCAGGTTAGCAGTGGATATTTTGGTAAAAGTAGCAGAGCCTAGTTCGTCCTTCTGTTTCTCTTCGCCTTAGCTGGACTGGACATTCGGGTGGAGTAGACAAAATGGCCGCCTTTATACACGACGGATTGAATGTTTTACGTCTTCTGATTGGTTAACCTTCTATTGGTGGACTATAAAGTGAGTTAAGTCATTTGAGCTAACTCACTAGTTATATATATCTAGATCCTGCAGGAGCGTTTGCAGTCAGTTGCCGAGTCTCTGTTGGGACCTGAGCAGACTTGTTCTGTGAGGGGCCGAACAATTCAGAGCAACCTGCATCTGATCCGCACGATCATAGAGGGTGTAAAAAATTTGAATGAAGAAGCCGCGCTGATCAATTTGGATCAGTCCAAGGCATTTGATAGGGTTGACCATCGCTACCTTGCTACTGTCCTGCAGGCCGCTGGATTCGAAGCCAACTTCTGCCGCTGGATTAGCCTCCTGTATCGCTGCCCCAGTGCTGTGGTACAGGTGAACGGAAGGTTGTCGGACGCGTTCGTGCTGTCTAGGTCGGTTCGTCAGGGTTGTCCGCTGTCGCCTCTCCTTTATGCTTTGGCGTTGGAGCCTCTCCTTCGCCGGCTGAAGGACGAGACCGGCAGTCCGGCCCTACGTGGAATTGCCGTGCCTGGAGGGTCTCGAGCCAGGGTTTCCGCGTACGCCGATGACGTATCTGCTTTCGTGTCGTCCCGCAGCGACATTGAGGCGGTACAGAGGGCGCTTAATCGGTACGAGAAGGTGACAGGGGCCAAGATAAACCGCGACAAGTCGTCCGGCTCGCGGTTAGGTGCCTGGAAGGGGGTCGATCTTCCGGGCCGCTTCGGTTGGACGGACGGTCCTGTCCGCATTCTTGGAGTGTGGTTTGGGCCTGACCTCCAGCTGGAGAAGAATTGGTCTGAAGTACGTGCAAAGGTCGATTCTGCCGGTCAGACTTGGAATCGACGGCGGTTGTCCGTGAAGGGCAGGGCGGAGGTGTGTGTTACATACATTTTCCCCTGATTCTTTATCGGTTGTCCGTTCCTTCCTCTCTGTAAAGACCGCAGGAAGGTGCTCGAGCGATCGCTATCCTCCATTTTATGGAGGGGACGCGTGAACAGGGTCGACAGACGAGTCTGCACAAACGTCCGTGTCATGGGGGGGCTGGGAATGCCGCACCTTATGAGTCACATCCGTGCCTCTAGGTTGGCTTTCCTACGCCGCGCATTGACTAGGGGAGATCCGATTCTGGAGGGGATTGTTAGGGACGCCTTCCCTAGCCTTACTATCAGTCCCCCCATCTCGAGGGCCGAGCGCCGTTGTAAAAACCGGGATGAGTCGGATTTCATCCACGAGTGTCGGTTGGCCTTGAAGGCCATTCCCCGGTCCAGTGACCTTTCACGGCCTAGGAAGGTCTTCTATCGTGGTTTAGTGGAGGGTCGCGCGAAGGATAAACTACGTGATACGCTCGGCTTGTCGGAGGAGGAGTATCGCTCCTATTGGTCTTGGGCGCCAGCGGCGGATTACCTCAGTAACCCTGAGTTTTCGCTTACCTGGCGATTGGCTCGGAATCGGCTGCCTCTCAATGACAAGGCTTTCATATGGGGTTTGGCGGATTTGCCAGACTGTGAACGGTGTGGTCTTGGTTTAGAAGAAACGGCTGCGCACGCCTTCTACCATTGCCCCCGGGTCCGCCCCTTATGGGACCATGTCGGCGAGCTGACGGCTCGTCTCGCTCCCGAACAGCTAGTGTCCATGGATCGCGCATACGCGTGTGACAATGTGTCGCCCCCGTATTCCGGGGAGAAACGAATGGTGTTTCTGATGCTGATGGCCACGGCTCGAATGGTGATTTGGACGACGCGAATGGAGGAAGTCTTGCAGGGGGTCAACCGTCTTTCTTATCAGCATCTAATCCAATTCTTTGAGCATCAGCTCAAGATGAAGATTAGATCTGATAGAAAACGATTGCATTCGACAGTCTTCAGCGAAAGGTGGGTAAAAAAGCAGCAAGCCTGGTTCGTGTGACCGGGGCTAGCCTTGATTTTCTTTTTTAAGTCAACCTATAGCACATCAGGGTGGCTTTCCTGTGGAACCCTCCCTTGGTTAGGTTAGACAAGCTTCAGTGTACCTAGTTAATGTGAGTAAGTGTCGTTCCTGGCCTGTATCCCGGCTGCTCTTTGGTTATGGTCCAAGTCGAGATTCCCAACCTCCCCAGTTTGTTTTGGTCCTCTTTTTATCTTGACTGGGTCAGTTTTATATTACCCATTCCGGCATAATATTTTATCCTTTCCCACTCCCTTAGCGAGAGCGCTTCTTGATTCTGGCCTTTGGGCAGAATACAGCGGCCTCTCTGTTTTGAGGGTTGGACGGTCCCTACTAACATATGTTATGTTTAGTTTGAATGTTGTGTTTATTTTTAGTTATTATTGGGTTCATCTCCCTTCCCTTGCATCCTATCATTATTAGAATTTTATGTATAGCATTTTATGTATCATCAAATTTTTATGGATTGGGGCGTTTTTTTGTAGGTCCCCCTTGTGAGAATCCGGTATTATGGTGCATGAAGGATTGATTGGTGATGGACAAGTTCTTGTGGTGAATGGGTTAATTGTAACGTATGAATGGGTCGTGAATCAGATTAGCTAGGTATAAGATAGTTAGTGAAGACCAGCCTCACACCCCTCCCATTTCGGCCTTGTGCCACAATTATGTATTTTACATAATAAATATCCACAGGTTAAATATTTTCTCTAGATCCTGCAGGAGCGTTTGCAGTCAGTTGCCGAGTCTCTGTTGGGACCTGAGCAGACTTGTTCTGTGAGGGCCGAACAATTCAGAGCAACCTGCATCTGATCCGCACGATCATAGAGGGTGTAAAGACGACGAAGAAGCCGCGCTGATCAATTTGGATCAGTCCAAGGCATTTGATAGGGTTGACCATCGCTACCTTGCTACTGTCCTGCAGGCCGCTGGATTCGAACCAACTTCTGCCGCTGGATTAGCCTCCTGTATCGCTCCCCCAGTGCTGTGGTACAGGTGAACGGAAGCTGTTGTCGGACGCGTTCGTGCTGTCTAGGTCGGTTCGTCAGGGTTGTCCGCTGTCGCCTCTCCTTTATGCTTTGGCGTTGGAGCCTCTCCTTCGCCGGCTGAAGGACGAGACCGGCAGTCCGGCCCTACGTGGAATTGCCGTGCCTGGAGGGTCTCGAGCCAGGGTTTCCGCGTACGCCGATGACGTATCTGCTTTCGTGTCGTCCCGCAGCGACATTGAGGCGGTACAGAAGGCGCTTAATCGGTACGAGAAGGTGACAGGGGCCAAGATAAACCGCGACAAGTCGTCCGGCTTGCGGTTAGGTGCCTGGAAATTATTCGATCTTCCGGGCCGCTTCGGTTGGACGGACGGTCCTGTCCGCATTCTTGGAGTGTGGTTTGGGCCCGACCTCCAGCTGGAGAAAAATTGGTCTGAAGTACGTGCAAAGGTCGATTCTGCCGGTCAGACTTGGAATCGACGGCGGTTGTCCGTGAAGGGCAGGGCGGAGGTGTGTTGTACATACATTTTCCCCCTGATTCTTTATCGGTTGTCCGTACTTCCTCTCTGTAAAGACCGCAGGAAGGTGCTCGAGCGATCGCTATCCTCCATTTTATGGAGGGGACGCGTGAACAGGGTCGACAGACGAGTCTGCACCAAACGTCCGTGTCATGGGGGCTGGGAATGCCGCACCTTATGAGTCACATCCGTGCCTCTAGGTTGGCTTTCCTACGCCGCGCATTGACTGGGAGATCCGATTCTGGAGGGGATTGTTAGGGACGCCTTCCTAGCCTTACTATCAGTCCCCCCATCTCGAGGGCCGAGCGCCGTTGTAAACCCCGGGATGAATCGGATTTCATCCACGAGTGTCGGTTGGCCTTGAAGGCCATTCCCCGGTCCAGTGACCTTTCACGGCCTAGGAAGGTCTTCTATCGTGGTTTAGTGGAGGGTCGCGCGAAGGATAAACTACGTGATACGCTCGGCTTGTCGGAGGAGGAGTATCGCTCCTATTGGTCTTGGGCGCCAGCGGCGGATTACCTCAGTAACCCTGAGTTTTCGCTTACCTGGCGATTGGCTCGGAATCGGCTGCCTCTCAATGACAAGGCTTTCATATGGGGTTTGGCGGATTTGCCAGACTGTGAACGGTGTGGTCTTGGCTTAGAAGAAACGGCTGCGCACGCCTTCTACCATTGCCCCCGGGTCCGCCCCTTATGGGACCATGTCGGCGAGCTGACGGCTCGTCTCGCTCCCGAACAGCTAGTGTCCATGGATCGCGCATACGCGTGTGACAATGTGTCGCCCCCG